TAATAGGAACTTCGATGATGTTGACGACAAAATATTTCGCATACCGCTGCAATACCTTGTAGGGGCCTTTGTATGGAGATGATAAAGATGGCTTGACTGACAGGTCTCGAACAAACACCTGCTCACACGTTTTAAGGTCGTTATGTACGAACGACTTTTGTCCAGTATGCCAGGCAGTGTCGACTGGGCGTAGGCTACGCATGGCGCCTCGTAGCTGTGCGATGGTTTCTGCTTATGTGATTGAACGACCGCTGTCAACAAAGAACTCAGAAGGTCCCATAAACTAACTCAGCTGGGCAAGCCCCTAAGTCGGCCTTGAAAGAACTACGCAGTCCCAGAAGAATAAGCGGCAGGAACGTTGTCCACTGATTGGCATCATGGCATAAAATCGCCGACTTCAAAGTACGGTGCCACCGCTCGACGATGCCATTCGTTTGCGGATGATACCCCGTTGTGCGGAGGTGCCTGATACCGAGACATTGCAAGAGCTGTTGGAAAAGGTTACTTTCGAATTGTCGCCCAAGGTCTCATGTTATATCAACGGGAACACCAAAGCGCGATATCCAACCGTCTATGAGTGCTCTTGTGACTGTCTCTGCGGTGCTGTCCGGGATCGCGAAAGCATCAGGCCAACGGGTAAAGCGATCGATGACAGTGAGACATAGCGGTTTCCGTTGGACAACGGAAACGGTCCGACTATGTCTATGTGGAGGTGCGAAAACCGTTGGCCTGGACACTCACGTCGTTGGAACAATGCTGAGTTGTGACGTACGGCTATTCCGTTGAATTCCTGGCCAGACGAATCGCTCGGTCATCAGCCTCGCAGTGACTCGCATACCTGGGTGTGAAATATCATGTGTCGCGCGAAGAATGCCTTGTCGGAATCGCCTTGTTACAAACGGGCGTATTCTCCCTGTTGAGCTATCGCAGTAAACACTCTTTGTACTGGAAGGAAGAATAAAACTAGTTTGTTTGANGATTTTATTGCGCTGACATTTGATGCAATTCCTTGCAAACGCACGGCTATCCCGTTGAATTCCTGGCCAGACGAATCGCTCGGTCATCAGCCTCGCAGTGACTCGCATACCTGGGTGTGAAATATCATGTGTCGCGCGAAGAATGCCTTGTCGGAATCGCCTTGTTACAAACGGGCGTATTCTCCCTGTTGAGCTATCGCAGTAAACACTCTTTGTACTGGAAGGAAGAATAAAACTAGTTTGTTTGAGTGAGTGACAAACCTGTCCACCTAGGTATTCTTTCATCTCGTTGTCGATGGCTTGATCATCAGCTAAGTCGTCGAAGTTGATCGGTTCTGATGTTATAGTTTGGATTCTGGACAGCAGGTCAGCTGCAACATTTTGTTCGCCTGGAACGTGGCAAATGTCTGTAGTGATCTGCGCAATAAAATCTAGTTGACGGGCTTGGCGGTCGGAAGCTTTTTCTAGTCGTTGACGAAATGCATAAATGGGGGGTTTGTGGTCAGTGTACACATGACAGTCACGGCCCTCAAGCAAGAAGCGAAAATGTCGGACAGATAGAAAATTGCTGTCAATTCTCTGTCATAGGTACTGTATCGCTGTTCCGCTTTTGTGAAAAGTCGCTGAAAAAACCCTAGCGGTTGAAGTGCACCGCCAATAACCTGGTGCAGAGCCGCTCCTGCGGCATAGTCTGATGCGTCAATCCAAAGTGAAAGTGTAGCGTTTGGAAGATAGTGAGCGAGCAGCACACAGTTTGCGAGGTCTTCTTTGCAAGCCTCGAAGTGTTTGACGTTATCCGGCGGCCAGATCAGCGGCGTTTTGTCGTTCCGTTTGTTGCCCGAGATCATTTTGAAAAGTGGGTTCTGATGCTTGAGCGGATTTTTCAGAAAAGCTCTGTAAAAATTAATCATTGCGAGGAAGGCAACTTAAATGATCGGATAACTCCGACTCGGCTAGGAAGTGGCTTGATTCCCTCTTTCGTTATGGCATGGCCTAAGAAGTGCAGCTCCGAAACACCAAGAACCGATTTCGCCACGTTAATCGTTAGGTTATGCTCACGCAATCGCTGAAAAACCGATTTGAGGTGCGTGCGATGCTCCTCTGGCGAGCTGGATGCAACACAAATGTCATCCAGGTAGATGAAAACCTTCTCTTNTCATATGCGTAAATTCGTACAGCCCGAAAGGAGCCGTAATGGCTGTTTTGCAGACATCATCGGGATGAATTCGGATCTAGTGAAAGGCTGTCTGTAGATCAATTTTAGAAAAAATTGTCTTGCCTGCGAGAATGTGCGTGAAGTCGTGTAAAAAAGGCAGTGGGTACTTGTCGGGGACTGTTACCGCATTTAGTGCTCGGTAGTCACCACAAGGCCTCCATGAACCGTCAGCTTTGCGCACCATGTGTAATGGGCTTGCCCAGTGGCTACTGGATTGCCGGCATATTCCCAGTCTCATCAAGAGCTCGAATTCCGCGCGCGCTTCTCTGAGCTTTTCGGGCGAGGGTCTTCTGGGTCGCGCTTATCGTTGAAACACGTGGCACGTCGATATGTGTTACTGAGCAAACCGTCTTTATTGTAGTCTTGCGGTCAATTAAGCACTTCATTTTAAGGTCCGGCAGAAGATCATAGTAAGATAAGAAGTCAGCGCCAATGATCGCTTGTGATACGCCTGCAATCACTCCATATAAAGTCTCTACGCAAATTGAGGTTAAGTTTTAGCATGACTTCTCCGAATACCGGGATAGATGTCCCGTTAGCGGCAAACAATTGCATATCCGAGGGGGTTACTCGAGCCAATTTCGAACAGTTTGGAACAATCGACACATCAGCGCCAGAGTCAATTAAAAAAGTGGTATTAGTTGACGTGTCGAATATGCGTAGGCGACAATTCGAAGGCATCTCAGATCGTTTGCCAATCTCTGAAATGCTATTGCGTGCCACTTGGTGATGGGGGCTGAAGATATTTGCAGGGCTGTCTACATTTCTTGGCGTTCTTCCCAGATTTTGCGTGGTACCAGCACAACTCGGAAGTATTGCTGCCCTGGCCGCGAGCAGGCGTTCTGGATCTGGAGCGTGAACGAGATTTTTCGCCACTCAAAGCTTTATCAAAACGCGGTTTGAGTGCCGCTATTTCGGCTCGTAGATCGCTGTCGTTAGCAGCTTTGGGTGTGCTCACCTCATTGACGCGCCCCTCACGCAATTGTATCGATTCAGCTATGGAATCGGCATTTAGTTTATCGGTGATTGGAACGCTGGTTGCTATGATCGCAGCTTGCGCGTATGGGGGCAAGCGGTTGACCCATAGATCATGCAAAATACTTTCACTCAGGGCCGAGCCAGCAGCTCGCTTCATTTCGTTGAATAGATCACTAGGACGGCGGTCGCCCAGTGGCATTTCTCGTAGCACACGTTGAAGGCGGCGCTGCTGGCTCTCCGTGAAATTTTCAATCAATTTCGAGCGGATATATTCGTATCGACATGACAATTTCGCGGAGTCTGTCGTAATGCTTGAGGCTTCAAACCAGAAGTCCAGCGAATAGAAATAAGCCTCAATATTTTCTTCTGACATAACAGGAAGCGGAATTCTCGGAATGCTGGCACCTGCCATCGAAGCTTCTCCGTGATGAGATCCAGGCGTTACAGCCATGCTATCGTTGAGTGGCATGTCTCACTTACCGTCGGGTCACCAATTGTGGAAGATCTGAACGTATTAAAAAAGACACGTGTATGCTCTATGACGTCCGAAGGAAAAAAGGACCGAACAAAATTACATTTTATTAAAGCAAGCTTATTGTGGCAATTTACAAATAAAGAACAAAAGAAAATGTCAAAACGAAAAGTTAACATGGTTGCATTCAGGTATTAAAATAATATTAAGCATGAGCGGTGTTCACACATGTACAAGCGGTGTTCCCACATGTATATCTCGATTACCAGTAGCCCACTAGAACAAAACACATATCGTCAACTGAAATGCAAAAAGACTGTTTTTGATTGATATGATGGATTTCATCGAATTACAACTACCACATCATTTAATGAAAAAAAATAAAATAATTTATTCACGACTTTTTCCATTTCAGTTACGAAGTTGTTTTTGCATTCCAGGTGACGATATGTATGTATATATTAATTTCTTCTATGGGAGTATGTATAGGTAAATTCAAAATATTAAAGCCGTTTTTCTCGATTTTGTTGTTTTTTTTTTTGAGTTATGACACTATTGAAGTAAATGAGCAATAGCGTTTTTTTATATGGATAAAATGAATAACACCTACAATAAAAATAAATTTTTTTTAACCCACGCGATTACTTAGCCTCTTCAAACTTCCACTTTGTCGCTACCTTAATATAGAATGGCCTAAATTGATTTGTCTTTAAAGTGCTTTGTACTAAAGTCGGAAGATTACTCACTAAGAACCTAACCGAAATCGAAAGCGACTACTGCATCGTTAAATAAGATACATTCTTGAATAAAATACAGTGTCTTCAAAAAATTCTTAACTGAGAAACTTCGGGATCGATAAAGGTTTTAAAATAATCTGTGCAGAAACAAAAATGTAAAACAAGGCATTTCTGTATTAGGATAACGAAATATACATACATAATTTGAATTTTATACATATGTACATTATATAAGCATGTAGCAAATTAAATATAAGCCGTCATCGATTCGCCAACAGTTAGCGAGTGGTGAAACGAACGAACTCAATGAGGTACAACCAAACTCGCTATCGTCTATCAGTGCTAGCTAACTTTGTTGTTGCTTTCACATGCAAAATTCTTATTTAAGCGACCGGAACTCAAACATAGCGAGCGAGAAGTGGCGAATCGATGACGGCTATACTTAAATAATAAAATAAATAATAAATTCAGTATTCTTTTAAGTTCAAAAACGCCAGTACAGCAAAAAAAATTAGTGTGCTTAAAGCAGGCTGACCAAAATCAGCAATACAGCAATACAATACAATAAGGCTTTAAGGCTTTTTCATAGCTTCAGCAAGAGCCAAAAATCCTTCTCCTAGTTTAGCTAGAGCATCATTAGTTCTTGGTTGCTGCTCAAGCATACGGTCATCGTACTCTTCTCGCTTTCTAATATGTTTTAACACAACATCAGCGAGTTCCTGTGATCCTCCTCTTTTGTTGTTTGTTCTGGATGGTGTTGCCTCAATGGGTAAGTTGGAAGGAGAAATATCGCTGCGAGAAAAAATATTGGTTCTGCAGGGAGGACTATTGCTGATGGGTGGACTGCAGGGTTCTTCTACCGTAACTTGCAAAGCTGAGACTTCCTCATGTTCAGTGGAGCATACAGTATCCTATAATATTAAAAAAAAACCATTAATACTCGTATGAACGGGTGGACTGCAGGGTTCATCTACCGTAACTTGCACAAAGTTGGGACTACGTCATGTACAGTGGAGCATACAGTATCCAATAATTAAAAATGGGATCTATTCTTGCCTGGAATCCCAGCTACTGAGCAGGAATCCCATCCACTGTCATCATTCCCAGTGCCTCAAGTGCTTGGCTGTCAAAATCTCCNTAGGGTTCATCTACCGTAACTTGCACAAAGTTGGGACTACGTCATGTGCAGTGGAGCATACAGTATCCAATAATTAAAAATGGGATCTATTCTTGCCTGGAATCCCAGCTACTGAGCAGGAATCCCATCCACTGTCATCATTCCCAGTGCCTCAAGTGCTTGGCTGTCAAAATCTCCCAAATCATCAGGCTTTGGCCCGCCTCCTGTGCCCATTTGGTCCGCTTTGAGCCTTCTCGCCCGACTACGCAATGGTTTTTTCCAGTTTGCCAGTGACTGCAAAAAGGAAATACAAAGTAAAAATTTTTTGCTAAATAAATGCATGTTGCTACTTACCTCCTTCCACTTAATTGGGGTACGTGTGGGCCCGTTCAGCGCATTCAAATTTTTGGCTAGTTCCTCCCACAGATCTTGCACCTGTCGTGGCTGCGCAGGTGTATTTTTTCCAGTCACCAGCTCTGGATTCTTCTTTATATATACAATATAGCATTGCAGTTGTTCCTGCGTTGTCCGCGGAAATTTTCTGCAAGAAACACATTTAATAAATTGAGTTATTTGCATAAATGGCTAAATAAGTTAAAATATACTTACTTTTCTCGCTGCTGCGTTTCCATTTTTCGTCTGTCAATTTCATTATTTTAGTAATCAGCTGTGAAAAGTGCTGCCAATAATTTCGCTTTCACCACAAGGTGAACTTTTCCTTGTTCATAAGTTGCTAGGATACCCGGTACAAGTATTGGTTACAAAATTGTAACAAATTTAAGGTGACAAGTTATTGTAACCAAATTGTTATAATAGACCTGTAAAAGAGAACTTAGCATGCGCACATTGTTTGACTTGCTTCTGAGTCCAGGGCCCTTACTCTGTAATTCGATACGCAAAGCAATGCGATTCGAAAATCAAACGCGATGCGATGGGAAATTCGCACTCTCTATTGCCAATGTTGCCTTTTTACTTGTACGCTTATTTCTCAAGAAGGGTTGGCATTACTGACAGAAACGTCAAAGAAATAGAGAACAAAATAAAGAAAATAAAAACGTTTAAAGGATAAAGGATTGCAAGTTAATTTATTTTAATTAAAAAATGGATTCTGTGGCGTTATGGGATGACTTTCAGAATGAAGAAAGGGTCCAGAGGAAAATAATTCGAGATAACTCAAACATTATGACCCTCAGCGATAAAAGGTAAGTTGAAATGTTAGTGTTTGCAAATTACTCTGCATACAAATTTTAATTTTGTATCCTTAGTTTTGTTCAAAATTTTCGGCTCAGTAAAGAAGCATTTATGTACGTGTTGGACAGCATAAGAAGTGAACTAAAAGTTTCCCAAAGATCTACCGCAGTCCCTGAAATAGTGAAACTTTCGACCACTTTAAAATTTCTCGCTCAGGGCGGTTATCAACACTCTATTGGACAAGATCGACATGCAGGGCTGGCACAACAAACCGTATCAAGATGCATTTTAGAAGTATGCAACGCGATTGAAAAAGTTTTGTGTCCGAAATATATAGTGTTTCGTATAAACAACCAAGAGAGAGTTGATGCCAACAGGAGCTTCTATCAAATGTGTGGAATCCCAGGAGTTATTGGAGTGGTGGATGGGACGCACATCCAAATAATAAGGCCGACAAGGAACGAACATTTATTTTTTAATCGCAAATTAAAGCACAGCATAAATGCAATGGTGGTAAGAGGATGATCTAATGAATATGTTATGTATGTATGTATCTTTGTATTTTAGGTATATGATCACCAAATGCGTATTAGAGCTGTCAACGGAAGATTTGGAGGTGCGTCACATGATTCCCATGGGTGGAACTTGTCAAGCGAGCGGGATTATTTAAAATCAAATTATGCGAATTAATGCAATGGTGTGCGAATCCTTCGTAAGTTCCTTTTAATATCCATTCACGAAATCTTTTATTGACAATTGCACTTCTGTCCTACCATAGGTGACTCTGGATATCCGCTGGAACCATGGCTATTAACTCCGTATAGAAATGCTGCGGAAAATTCTGACGAGCTGTTTTTTAATCAAAGTCTATCGAAAGGAAGATCATTAGTAGAACGAGTATTTGGCGTGTTAAAAGGTCGATTTAGATGCCTTTTAGCTGCACGGGAGCTTCATTATGCTCCAGAGAAAGTTGTTAAAATACTGAACGTATGTTGTGCTCTTCACAACATATGTATTTTATATAATGTCGAGCAACCTACAGATATTAGAACTGAGCCAGAAGAAACTGTAACCGTTAATGCTGATAATACAGAAGAAATAAATTTTGTCAACATTGCTAGAAGATTAAGAGAAGAAATAAAAAACAATTTGATAGCTACTCGAAATTACATACAATAAGTGAACATGTTTTTGCAATAAATAATTTATTAAATTAAGAGATCTTCAGTCTTTCGTTACATAGGAGCACAACACTTGGAATATTAAAGTTATTTTATTTTTATAAAATAATTAAAATAAAAAGCACAAAAACACAGTCAAAACAAAAAAATAAACTTCAGTGTTTACAAAAAGAAAATTATGACTAATTTATTACATCATGCTTGACTAGCCTTTAGCATTCATAAAAAATTATATGGATTGATATTTATGATATGAAATTTATGTATATTTACGGTGGCGAGAATGTAAATAGGGAATAGCAACTATCTTAGCTTACTATCTAAAAAAACATGTAAATCAAAATCTAATTAAAAACCTCAAAATTTTGAAGAAGCTTTGATTTAGATGGTTTTTGTTAGATGAGTTACGCTTTTACAAAAAAATAATAAACATTAAATAAAATTCGAAATAGCCAAAGAATGCTTAAATTTCTCTTCCCTATTTATATTTTCGCCACTGTATATCCATATCATCTTTTATGAATGAGGCTATTTGTTTCTATTTCTAAAGTTAACATTTCTGTTTGCAGTTCTAACGTACTTAATCTTAATTTTAAATTTTCACGATCAAGTTTTTGTTTATGGAGAAATTTTTCTCTTGCAAGTTTAAGTTTCTGTTTTTCTATTTTCCTTCCTTTTTTCATATTTTTAAAAATGTTATTCAAATTTACATTTATCTCATTTAAAACTTTACCCGAATGCTTGTGGTAAGCCATTTGGTTTTCGACTTGCTTCTCTAAAAGGTTTTGTTTCTTGCGAGAAGTGCTTACAACATTTGAACAATGAGGGAGTTCATAACCTGGAGGGAATTACTTTCGCCTGTATTACCTTCCACTGAAGTTTCGATGGGTGTATTCGATGATGTTTGTGCTGCACCAAACTCTAGTGTGCCTACCATCCCACTCATTGATTCCTCCATCGATAATAGTTGACTGACTTTCTGTTCCAGTTGCGTAAGTGAGCAGTAATTGGAACGACCACCACTAGTTCCGGAAATGCTGTGTTTGTTACGACGCATTTTCGCTTTCAAATGCGTCTTGTAATCAGCCCAAACCTAAAATTTAAGGTTATTGTATATTGCCAAAAACTACTAAAGTTACTACTTACTTTCTTCCAGCCAGCAACTTCACGCATCGGTGGGCCAGCTGCATTTAGGTCGCAAGCCAATTTCTTCCAAAGGTTTGTGGAAACGGTTTTAGCATCCGGCGTCTTCAATAGCCCCTTAGACAAATCCGGGTGGATTTCCATGAAATCCACTAATATTTCAAATTGCTTTTGATTCGTCTGCTTACCTTTAGTATTTTCCCTATGTACATATTTTTTTTAAATAATGTAAATATATGCAATTTCAGTTTGAATAATTCTTTTAACTTACATTTTTATTTGTTTCGTTTGCCTTTGAATTGTAGCAAGAAAAATGCGAGAGTCACGGCCATTTGACAGCTACATTCGAAAAACAGAGTGCTACGAATGCGAAGGGGAAAAATGTGATGCGAAAGGGATAAATGAAATGCGTAATTCGAAAATTTCTGCGCGAATTTCGTATTACAGGGTACCTTTTTTGCGAATGCGAAGCAAATCTCATTCGCATCGCATTACAGAGTAAGGGCCCAGAAGTGTTTTGGTAATAGATTTTTAAGCGTTTGCTAGAATTGCAGCGACCAGCTAGTTCTGTCGTAGTTTTTGATGAAAAAAACGGAATGGCCGAATAATTATATTTGCCGGCCAAATCTCCGGTTTCATCAGCTTATTGTACTCCGANATAATAGATTTTTAAGCGTTTGCTAGAATTGCAGCGACCAGCTAGTTCTGTCGTAGTTTTTGATGAAAAAACGGAATGGCCGAATAATTATATTTGCCGGCCAAATCTCCGGTTTCATCAGCTTATTGTACTCCGACTCAATAACACCAAGTTTAAAACTGACATATTTAAGACAATCAGATTCAGATTGTTTCCCTTTTTTTAGCAATTTGTAAGTTAGGTGATGCTTATCGACATGAGCATGCCACAAAAATCGACGATATTCTCTGGCTGAACCGAAGGCTTAAATGAAGATAAGTGGAACCATTTAAAGCGGGCGACTGTAAGAAGTTCGTTGCTATTGCTGGTTCTTACCATAACTTTTGTTGTTTCTGCCTCCTTTTTTTTTATTTTTTTCATCCACCCTCGCAGATTCTATAGATGTAAGTAGAGATGGGCACGGGCCTAAATTTTCAGGTCCGGCCCGACACGAGTGCAAAATCAACTTTCCAAAACACGCACGAGCCCGCACGTTAAGAATTTTAGTGGGGCCCGGCCCGGCCCGGTCCGGCACGACGGGACACGTCCCAGCCCGGAAATAAAGAGCCAACTTTTATTGTATGTATACATATGTTCTTACCCTATAAACATTTTGGCGTACGTTCGAAAAGTACCTTCGATATCCAATGTGCATATCGAACTGAGAACGAACTCATAACCAACCTTGGTTTTCCAACGTTCAGAGTACATTTGAAATACACTCGAAATGGGTTCGAAAAAAAATTAAAACCATAGTAACAAGAGAGAAAGTGAAATCCAGCTCATTCTCGAAGGAAAATATAAGACAATCGCTCTCTCACAATAAAATTTCAATTCGATAATGGGCTGGATTTCAAATTCGTAACGAAGGGAAAATACATTGGATAACGAAGGTGCCGTTTTGCTGGAGAATGGCTTAGTTCTCGAACATTCGTTATCGAAGGTAAGACTCGAAAAAAGATTGGTTTTCCAATCATTTTCGAATTGCTAACCAAGCCTAATGTTTATTGGGTATTTTTAATTTTGTGTTTATGTATGTATGTATATTAATTTAAGCGAATCAAATTTTCACATCAAAGATTTTTATAATATATTTTCTGGGGAGTAAAAAAAGTGGAAGGTATTTTATGTACAGATATGTAAACAGAACTACTAAGTATCTTATTTTTTTTATCGGTTTCCAAATATTTATTTTTGTGCTTTTCTCTTATCAAAAGAGGTTTAAATATGTACTATTTTTCTTTTATTATAAACAAAAGATTATCTAAATTTTCAGTACTAGCAACGGGCTTTTTCGCGCTTATTCGTGCTTTTATGAAATTTTATTGAACGCCCATGCACGCACGAGTTCGAGCTGACAGCAAATATTCCGGCCCGTACCCGCGGGCTTACGCAGGGGCCCGCCGGGCCGATGGAGAGTGCACTTTCTCACGAGTTGTCAATCGGAGTTTCTATCGCACTTTTGTTGGAACGCGACCCAGCACACTTGTTGTTGTCAGAGCATGATGCGTGAGCGTTGACTGTAGGAACTAAGAACTCAGCAGAATCGCGCGAATTAGCAGGCACAGCAGACGATGACAAATTCATTGGTACATCAACAGCTGCATTGTTAGCGTGTGTGTTGGGACAACTAACACTTTGAGCAGAGCTGACATCAGAGTGTACGCAGTGAGAATTTAGAAGCTGTTTTTTGAGGTCTTTAACCTCTACCACAAGATCAGCAACGAGAGAATTGATTAAGTTAGAAATGTTTTCTTCTATGCTCTTGCAAGAATAGTTATATTTATATTTATATATTTTCTGGGAAGTAAAAAAAGTGGAAGGTATTTTATGTACAGATATGAAAACAAAACTACTAAGTATCTTATTTTTTCTATCGGTTTCCAAATATTTTTTTTTTGCTTTTCTCTTATCAAAAGAGGTTTAAATATGTACTATTTTTTAAAATTAAAATCAAGAGATTATTTAAATTTTCAGTACTAGAAACGGGCTTTTTCGTGCTTATTCGTGCTTTTATGAAATTTTATTGAACGCCCATGCACGCACGAGTTCGTGCTGACAGCAAATATTCCGGCCCGTACCCGCGGGCTTACGCAGGGGTCCGCCGGGCCGATGGAGAGTGCACTTTCTCAGAGTTGTCAATCGGAGTTTCTATCTTACTTTTGTTGGAACGCGACCCAGCACACTTGTTGTTGTCAGATCATGATGCGTGAGCGTTGACTGTAGGAACTAATAACTCAGCAGAATCGCGCGAATTAGCAGGCACAGCAGACGATGACAAATTCATTGGTACATCAACGGCTGCATTGGTAGCGTGTGTGTTGGGACAACTAACTCTTTGAGCAGAGCTGACATCAGATTGTACGCAGTGAGAATTTAGAAGCTGTTTTTAGAGGTCTTTGACCTCTACCACAAGATCAGCAACGAGCGAATGCAAGTTGGTGTTCAAACAATTATCACAGTTGAACATTAAATTTGCATTATTTTTGATTAAGTTAGAAATGTTTTCTTCTATGCCCTTGCAAGAATAATGAAATACGACTTTGCGAAGCGAACGACTTAATGCATTGGCGCGTATTCATAGTCCAGCAACTAAGTCGAAACTAACAAAGTTACATCTTAAATTTAAGTACCAACTTAAAATTTACCTCTATTCATACGCAAAACGAGTGTGAAAATGTATCGATTTTTCTTTAGGATATTTTGGAAAAATTACATTTTTATTAAATAATATCAAGTTTGATCATCCGTTCATGTAATTTTTATTTTCATTGCATGATTATGCAAAAGAATTAGGTATTATTTTCTTGTTACTTGTGTGAAATAGCCAGAACAACCGCTGTGATGTGAAGTCGATGTTTATCGAAAGCATGCCGTGAAACATACAAATAGTAGATATCTAAATGTTATGCACAAATTTACTTTAAAAGAACTAGCGTGAAACTGACTTATTATTTGAAAATTTATCTAAATTATTCCAATTATAATATGTGATGTAGCCTTAGTCGAATTGTAATACGCATTTAATTTCATCTTCCGATTAAAATGGATCGATCTTTGTAAATTTTAATTGGAGATTATTCAATATTATCAAAATCACCCTCTACCAACTTAATTTTTACATATTTCGTCTGTTTTCCCTTAATTTAATAAAATACTTCTTCCTAGTTACGGCTTAGTTGCAGCTGCAGCCGAAACTAAATTTTAAGTTGGTACTTAAAGTGTGTTTGCATTGTTCAACTTTGCGTTCTACATTTGTGGCAACCCTGCGTTGAGTTGAACGCAATTGTTGAACGCAAAGTTGAATAATGCACACACTGCTTTAGCCAGAAAAGTCGAAACTATGGCGACTATGAATAGCCAATGGCGCATATTCATAGTCATATTTAGTACTCAACTAAGTCGAAACTATTCTAAGTCACAACTAAAGCTATTCATAGTCGCCTTAGTTTCGACTTTTCTGGCTAAGTACCAACTTAAAATTTAGTTTCGGCTGCAGCTGCAACTAAGTCGTAACTAGGAAGAAGTATTTTATCAAATTAAGGGAAAACAGACGAAATATGTAAAAATTAAGTTGGTAGAGGGTGATTTTGATAATATTGAATAANTTCTCAAATAATAAGTCAGTTTCACGCTAGTTCTTTTAAAGTAAATTTGTGCATAATGCAGCGTTTTTGCTGCATTTAAAATGCAACATTAGGCACTTTCGAACATATGTTTTCGAAGAGCGTTCATGCTATCGCATCTAGCAAATGTACATTTACGCGAGTTCGAAATCGTATGCTTTTGACAAACAGCCGTGTTCCAGTCGCTTATTCAGATCCGTATCCATTACGATAAATTCTCACGCAGAAGATAATGTGCAAAATCCCTACTGAAAAGGAAAAAATATATTCTAAACCGAAAATTCAATACAAAAACTTGAATTGTTTTAACCATAACCAAACATTTGTTTGCGTATAAATTCATTTGTCTGTGCTGTCAATTATAATTTCCACACTTAATTAGGAAACAAAACAAACAGAGTTGATCACAAATTAATCC